ATTATGCAACAAAATCACATATGGGAATTCGACCTTGCAAATAATAGATTGAGTTTTGGCAGCTCCTCGTGCACTTAGATTTATTCACCCAAATTTGTATTCCAAGAAAGAAATCAGTCGGCATTGTAATTTACAATCACTTCTCATTATAATGCACACATTATTATAAGAGGTTAACATATTGTTACCAATTCTTCATCTATTTTTGGCGATTTTTTTGGATATCTGCTCGAACTATATATATATATATATATATATATATGAAGATTGCAATAGAAATTAAAGATTGCAAAAAGATAGAAGAAAAAACCATAACCTGAGCTCGAAGAAAGAAGAGATAAGAGGACAAAGATAATTGTTAGGCCTCCTCTAGAGAGACTCCAAAAGTAACCACATGGCAACCATATAATGAGCAGATCCAAACCCACATTCTACGTCACCCTGCCTATGTGATAGATTTGTCGACCCCCCCATGAGAGGCCAAACCCCCATGAAGAGGCCGAACCTTTATGAAGGGATCGAACCTTGATGGACGAGGCGAGAAGATGCAAGGCTGTAGGGATCTTCTGTACAAGATCACCTATGATTGATTGATGTGATCGCTCACACTAACAGCACTTATCAAGTCAAATTGTCAAGTCTAATCCTTACATGTCGGGTCTAGGTCATAGGGTTGCAAACTCTCAAGAACATTAAATGCGCATGAGCCTAGGATTGACAAATGACGCCATGACAAGGCACCACAGTCATCAAGTTGAGGCCATGTGTCACTTCATACAACGGTCAATATTTTTCATTTTCTACCATAAAAGCTCACAATTAGTATCATTTGAAAGTAATACAATTTTATCAATAACATTGATCTCTCACTATTTTCTCTACGTACATACTCCCGGATTTGAATCCCTTATTTTTTGTGATTCACGTTTTTAACACATCTCACACCCAATTACATACTTTCAAATAGACTGACTTGATCGTCGGAGTGCTCGTGATCGCCTCTCCCACCAAGGCCACAGGTTCTAAAGATTAGTTCAAGTGCTCACGAAAATGGCTACGTAGACGTGAGTGGAATCGAGATATGTTGCCAAATCATCCGTTCAAATTTTGGGATCAACAATAGTAACAATTTAACCTATATTTGGGAAATGCGAGTAAATATGGGCCTCAAACATAGTAATTTGCAAGCTGAACAAATGTGTCGGGCCCGAATTAATTGCAAGAAATTCATTGTTGACTTTCACTAACGGTTGTGGCTCTGGGTGCAATGGACGAGTTAGGTCTTTATAGAGTATGCGATCCTTCTTGATTGAGGAAGAGACTAATAGAGCATGGAAATTATGTGGCACATTATTTGACAAAGAAATTGTTCATAAAGTGCAACGAAATCTTAATTCTCACAATTTTGATTTGTAGCCCCAAAGGAATTGTTACCGACAAATAATGTAATTTTGAGGCCAATCATTCTTGTATGTACATATAAGTATTTCATAGGTTTCTTGGCAGTTTATATGGTTATCTTTTAGCAATAATTGTTTCTTTTTAGTGCGTCGATACAATCTTTTTTTTTTTTTTTTATAACAACAATATTTGTCGACAAATATATTTGGCACACGCACAACATTAAAGTTTTAATTTCTTTTTCTTCATAAAATATTTATTACTAAATAAGTTAATTTACTTTTTCAAAATGGCATTTTTCTATGAAAAAATATTGTTTAAATTAAGGCTATGCTATGCTTACTCTCTTGCTTTTCTAGAACTTTCAAATCAAAGCAAATTAAGGGCTTATTCGATAAAGTTTTTGAAAAGTTAATAGTTGTTTTTTAGACTAAAAAGTTGTTTTCGAACCTGTTTACATAATTTTTTGAAATATTTTATCTGACTTGAAAAGTTTTTAAAGGAGGCTGACCGAGTTAGTTTCTTCATGAAACTTTTTTGTAAGTAGCAAAAGTTTTGCTAAAAGGGTCCTAAGAACTTGTTTGGGAGAGATTTTTTTAAAATCATTTTCCCTATTTCCTTTTTAACCATACATTTTGTGGATCAATAAATTTTTCCTACTATTTTAAACACGCATTCTCCAATATATATATATTTGAAAAATCTCTCCAGAAAAAGCTCTTCCCCAAATCAATTTTTCACCTTGTACTAATAATATTAGTGAACATATCATTTAGTCTATAAATAAATATATATAGAGAGAGAGTTGTAATTAATAATTACATTTGTAAGATGTGTAGTCCAAACATGTCCTTGTCGATTAGTGTTTTTATACTTAAATCGATATGGAATTTACCCTTAACATTCTTTCACAAGATAATGACTCGTTTGATAATACAAATATTGAAATCTAAATGTTCTCTGGAGTTTTAGATAGACTAAATTTCTCATTGAGTTTAATGGACTCTCAATCATATTAAGGTTGTGTTTGATAGGGTGAAAATTCCATGGAAAATGGAATTAGTTTTCTATTTTCTAACTTTTTAGGTGTTTGATAGGGTTAATTTTTTTGATAAAATTTTTTCCCACCTCCCCTCACACGTGCACATTTCCAAGGTTTTTGTTTTCCAGGTTTTGATTTATTTTTTTTTTTTTCAATTGAAACAAATTTTATCACCAATTGTAGAAAAAAGATTCTTTTAATGGACAATTTCCAAGAAAAATAAAACCAAACGAACACCAGAAGATCCAAAATTTAAATATTTTCCACGTGAAAAATTATACCAATCAAACACAATTAATTTCAATTCCGAGTAAAACAATTTTTAGATAATTCAATTAACTGGAGTTCATTTTTTTCCACTCATTTTTCACATTTATAATCAAAGGGATCCTGAGATTTAAAATTTTATGTCAAAAGATGAACTTTACTAAAATAATTAAAAGCAGGTGGGGGGTAGTTGAGTTTTGCATGAATTAAGCCACTTATCCCGCCATCGGCCATACCGACTTATTGTTTAGGGGTGTCCAAAAGTCCCGAACCGGACCGGACCGAACCGAACCCGAACCGAACCGAACCGAACCGAGCGGTTCTTCATAAATTAAATACCCGAACGGGTACCCGAATCGAGAACCGATGGGTTTGGGTCGGGTCTCGGGTCTAGACCAAGAACCGAAGAACCGAACAAGAACCGAAACTAAATAATTTTTTTATTTTTTATATTGAATTAATTAAATTATTTTATTTTTTTCCTATACAAATTAGCAAATTAATTGAATAAATTAGATTATTTCATAATTTTAATTTTTAAGCCCAAATCATTTTAAAATCCATTAGCCCATTTTAATTTGAA